TCTTTCTTTCTTTCTTTCTTTCTTTCTTTCTTTCTTTCTTTCTTTCTTTCTTTCTTTCTTTCTCCTCTTCCTTCCCTTTCTCCTCCTCCTCCTCCTCCCTCCTCCTCCTCCTTCTCTTTCTCTTCCTCCTCCTCCTCCCATCCTTTAAGTCACCATATAAAGATTTATGGAAAAATTTAACTGCAAAAAACTTTGTGAGCCTAAACTTAAGGAGAAGATTTCACCCTTCCAGGGAAGGCAACAGATTGTGGTGAACCACAGTGTGTTAATCCCTGGGAATCTTTTTAATTAATCAGAAAAAATTAGACTTTCGGGGCGGGGGGGGACAGGAGACACATTTACTCCCTCCCCTCCCCAAGAAAGCCTAATTACTTCCCCAGCAAAAGAAAAAAAACAATACCCCATTTCTTTTAGGTCAATTTACAATCATTAGTTCACAGAAAAATGATTTGCAGGAAAGCTGCTTCCCAATTTGTTTTAAGTAAGTATTAATAAACAGGTGCTATTTATATCTAAACTGAAACTCTGGGATGAGTGTCTGAGCTTGGCGGATGCTACTAAAAATAACTAATGTAATCAACAGCTGATTTCCAGGAAAGAAAGAAAAAAAAAGAGAGAGAGAGAGAGAGAGAAGAAAGAAAGAAAGAAAGAAAGAAAGAAAGAAAGAAAGAAAGAAAGAAAGAAAGAAAGAAAGAAAGAAAGAAAGAAAGAAAGAAGAGAAAGAGAAGAAAGAAGAAAGAGATAGAAAGAAAAGAGACAGAAAGAAGGAAGAAGAGAAAGAGAAAGAAAGAAGAAAGAAGAGTGAGAGAAAGAAAAGACAAAGAGAAAGAGAAGAAAAAGAAGAAAAGAAAGAAAGAGAAAGAAGAGAAAGAGAAGAAAGAAGAAAGAGACAGAAAGAAAAGAGGCAGAAAGAGAAGGAAGAAGAGAAAGAGAAAGAAAAGAGACAAAGAGAAGAAAGAAGAAAGAGAGAGAGAGAGAAAGAGACAGAAAGAAAGAAAGACAGAAGGAAAGACAGAAAGAAAGAAAAGCCGCAACAGCAGACCCTCAGAACACCCCAGATGGGAGTTTGCTGAAAGCGATGTGGGCCCCTTTCCTGAATCCTTCCTCTAAGACCACCGTCTTCCAAGCCCTGTTTGAGATGTCGCAAGGAGATGTGGTAGCATAAGAGGCCGATCTGGGCTTCCGGCCACTCAGCCCACTTCTGGGGGAGGCATCCTGGACCGTCTACACCAGGAGTCTCCAACCCTGGCAACTTTAAGACTTGTGGATGTCAACTCCCAGAATCCCCCGGATAGCCACATGAAAGTCCACTTCTCTTAAAGTTGCCAAGATTGACAAATGTTCTATTAAGAGAACAGAATTTCCAATAAGCCACAAGGCTGGGCCTCTTCATCCTTTAGTTCCTTAGCCCATTCTCCCCCCCACCCAATAGTTAAATTCCACCTATCGTGGAAGGAGAGAAGGGTGGACCAGAGTGGGCTAAAGAATGAAGAGGCCCACCCTTGTGGACTATTGGAAACTATGTTCCCTGAAAGCAGGGGTCTCCAAACTTGGCAACTTTAAGACTTGTGGACTTCAACTCCCAGCTATGCTGGCTGGAGAATTCTGGGCGTTCTCCAACAAGCCTTAAAGTTGCCAAGTTTGGAGACCTCTGACTTAAAGCAATGTTTGTCAAACTTGCCAACTTGAAGAGAAGTGGACTATCTGGGGAATTCTGGGCGTAGAAGTCCACGAGTCTTCAAAGTTGCCATGTTTGGGGACCCCCGTTCTTCTCCAAAGGGGCTGTGAACGTATCGGGCTTTCCTGACAATGCTCAAGAATTGAGGCTCCCAAAGCTGATTTCCCAACTGCAGAACCCGGAGAGGCAGCCTTGAGTCCAGCCGAAGGTTGCCCTGCCTTGCAAACCCCTTGAGATAAGGCCTCCAGACTGCCTGGGGATCCCTCTGCAAATTTGAACGGCCTTTGGTGGAAGAGCTGAAGACACCCGGAGGGGGAGAGATGGATTGTCTCTGCAGATCCAAAGGTCAAGAAAGCCAGGGAGGGGACAGGGCAGCACAAGGAAAAAAAATATCCAGCTTTTCTGGACTCTGGCAAGCTCACTATGTACACAAAGGAAACCCTCAGACTGCTGTCACAGTTTGATGAAACAAACGGTTGAAAGTCGAGGAGTATCGCCAAGCTTATTGGAAAAACCCAAATTGGCCACGGTCATCGTGCTTAGTCCAAACCCAAACACACATCACGAGTTTTTTTAGCCTAGCTGAGCAATTATTTTAGCTTTATTTTGCCCCGAGGCTGGACTTCTTTTGCGCTGGTGTGTTTAGGCAACAATAGGTGTTTAGGCAACAACAGCTTTTCAGTTAGAAGTGGACAAGGGGAGGAAGGGCTTGGACACTTGAAGGTTTATTCCACTGCGTTAGAAATAAAAATGGTTGATGACCACACTTTGGCAGCATTCGGAGGTCTTTTCTTTCCCCCCTACCTCCAGCCCAGAGGTGGAAGTTCATAGCAGATGGGCAACAGAGCCTTTAAAAAGTGTGACTGGTTTTTCACCATATGTCCTTCCAGATGCTGGAAGAGAAGTGATCTAATGCATTCAATTAACCGGGAAGCCTTCGCATTCAGACGGGGGAAGAGTAAAAATCAGAATCTGTCTTTTCACTAATTATATTTCCCAGCTGCAGTAAAATAAGCAAAGGCCCAGGTTGTTGTTGTTGTTTCATCTCTCTTCCTTGAATGCTTCTTTAGCAAGCTGGCAAATCCGATAACTGGCAATTCTCAACATTTATTGCTGGTTTGCTGAATAGCTGGGTGTCTTAGCCTGGTGTTTTTCAAACTTGGCAAAGAAAGATTTGCCCCTAGAAGTTGTGGGCGCTCCAACACTGGAGGTTTTAAAGAAGAGATTGGGTTTGTCTGAACGGGGATGGGGTTTTCTGCTCAAGCAGGGGACTGGACTAGAAGACCTCCAGGGTCCCTTCCAATTCTGTTCTGACTTCAACTCCTAGAATTCCCTAGCCAGCAAACTCAAATTCAGAGGTCTGTTTCTTTTATCAAGTGTCCAAGCTAATCACTAATTTGACCTCTTTTTTGGGTGGGGCTCTTGGAACTAGTTCCCTCCTCTGCTCTCTAACCCCACAGCATGGCGGGGTCTGAAGTCCCCTATTGTTGCTGATCTGTCAATCTCCTGCCATGCCTCAAACTTAACAAACCGGCCACTTGGTCTGTGAAGCATATTCTCCTCCTCTGCGGAGGTGATTTGTGCTAATTTTGCATGAAGCAGATTGGCAGTAACTTTGAAAACAACAACAACAATAAACCACAGGGGATTAATAGTGATGAGGGCCATAAAATCATTTGAGGCTTTCAAACTTGAAAGTTGGATAGATTGTCAGTCATCCCAAGGTTGTCCTAAAGGTGTTTCCCCAAAAGGCACCTGGACTTCCTTGTTTGTTTGTTTTTCTCTTCCCTTGAAAACATTTTGCTTCTCAACTAAGAAGCTCCTTCGGTTCTTCCGTTTCACCTAAATTTCCTTCCCCATGAAAAAGTCATATCTTTAACTGGACTTAAATGCGCAGCTCTTCCATTCCACTCAACTGGACTGATGGCCTGGATTCCCACATCTTTTCCAATAGCCCTTCTTCAGAAATAAATTAATGTAGCGGGTTAATTGCCCTTCACCTCTCTTTCATCCCTCAGCCTGGGAAAATGCTGTTGTGTTTTGATTTTTCGTTGAGAGCCTAGCAACGTGCTTTCACTGCCTCACTGTTGACATGTATGCTTCTGTTAAACACAAGGATTTGGAGTTGGGCCATCAACTCGCTGCCCCCTTGGAAAAGTGCAAAGCTGTTTAAAAATCCTGATTTCCAAATATTTTCTTTCTTTCTAAAAAAAAAAAGGAGCGGGTTGCTAGCTCTGGTGTTTGCCAAGCTAACTGAAGCATGGGTTGGCGGTATGTTATTCCAGCACAATGCATTCAGCGGCACCATTCATCTTATAACTCACAATTCATGACAGGGAGAACGAACAATCAACATAACAGTTTGCCTCCCGGAGTTGGTTGTAAGTGCTCCATCGCTGGAGGTTTTCAAGAAAACATTGGCCAACCATTTGTCTGGGTGGTATAAGCAGGCTTAACGAACAAACCACAGTTACGCAAGTGATGACTGAGTGTAACATTTAGACTTAGTAAATGCCAAGCTGGATTGTCAGAATATGTATTTTTAGAAAGTTTCTTTAAAAGGGATGGAGAAAGCCAATTTTTTGAAACTCAGAGTTCAATGATTGATGAGCTAGTTAAGAAGAACAACCATCGTGCCCCCGTGGCAGTCTTTCTGTTCCAAAGAGAATTAATCATTACCTGTTAATGAAGAAAATACGTTTTGAAACAGGCAGGTCCAACCAAGCTTTGCAAGCCCTGCAGGTTGGCTTCTCCACCTTTGACCAACATCTCCCTGGAGTAGCCTTTGATCTTCCAAGATGCAAAATCTGGTTCTTGGTCGCCTCCAGATGCTTCTCTTTAAATTCAGAGAAAAAAGCCTGACTGATCCTGGGGAACAGACCTAACCTTCTGAGTTTTATTTTAATGCTAAATCCCAAGTTGGATTCTGAGGTCAACGTGACCAGCCAATGTTCTCTGATGATCATCCAAACCACCTCTGCACAGAGGCTCAGGGCCACAAGAGGAGGCTTTTAGGCTGTTCTGAGCAGGGCTGAGTGGGAGGCTGGCTGAGAAGTCTTCAGGAATAGGTAGAAGTGGACCCCAGAGTGGTGGGGGTCCTTGACTTAGGGGGAGCACTGACCAAATAGCTTTGCTTTCTCCAGT